ACTCACAATCATTCTGGAGAAGCTTGAGATAGCTTCCTCATAATAATACCCGAGTAGCTGGGGATAGCTTCCTTACAATTATACCCGAGTTGCTAGGGATAGCTTCCTCATAATCATCCTGGAGTAGCTGGGAATAGCTTCCTCGTAATAAAACATGATTTCGTGCGAAAAGCTTCTTCATCATTAAACCCAAATATCTGGGATAGCTTCCTTGCAATTATACCCAAGGAGACTAGGATAGCTTCCTTAAAATTATACCATGGTAGGTAAGGACAGCTTCCTCACATTTACATCTTGCGCAAAACTTGAAAGGCAAGTTATACTTAACTGTTTGGCGGGAAACATGAAAGGTTGAGTGAATCAAAATCATAACATCAAACACTGGGAAAATGAGACTTTTTTTAATATATGAAGGTAGCCACCAAGAAAGACAAAACATTCAGCAATACTGTTTGTTTGTTTTTTATGTTTTAGTTTGACTTCACTCAAAATTATTCCCGAGTAGCTGGAGATAAGCTTCCTCACAATTATACCCGAGTAGCTGGAGATAGCTTCCATACAATAATACCGGAGTTGCTGATGATAAGCTTCCTCACAATTATAGCCGAGTAGCTGGAGATAGCTTTCATACAATAATACCGGAGATGCTGGAGATAAGCTTCCTCACAATTATACCCGAGTAGCTGGAGATAGCTTCCTTACAATTATACCCGAGTAGCTGGAGATAGCTTCCTTACAATTATACCCGAGTAGCTGGAGATAGCTTCCTTAAAATCATACCCGAGTAGCTGGAGATAGCTTCCTTAAAATCATACCCGAGTAGCTGGAAATAGCTTCCTTAAAATCATACCCGAGTAGCTGGAGATGGCTTCCTTACAATCATACCCGAGTAGCTGGAGATAGCTTCCTTACAATTATACCATAGAAGCTGGAGAAAGCTTCCTCACAATTATACCCGAGTAGATGGAGATAAGCTTCCTCACAATTATACCCGAGTAGCTGGAGATGGCTTCCTCACAATTAAACCCGAGTAGATGGAGATAAGCTTCCTCACAATTATACCCTAGTAGCTGGAGAAAGCTTCCTCATAATTATACCCGAGTAGCTGGAGATAGCTTCCTCACAATTATGCCCGAGAAGCTGGAAATAGCTTCCTCACAATGATATCCGAGTAGCTTGAGATAGCTTCCTCACAATGATATCTGAGTAGCTGGAGATAACTTCCTCACAATGATATCCGAGTAGCTGGAAATAGCTTCCTCACAATTATACTGAAGTGGCTGGAAATAGCTTCCTCACAATGATAACCGAGTAGCTGGAAATAGCTTCCTCACAATTATACTGGAGTAGCTGGAAATAGCTTCCTCACAATGATACCCGAGTAGCTGGAAATAGCTTCCTCACAATTATACCCGAGTAGCTGGAGATAGCTTCCTCACAATTATGCCCTAGTAGCTGAAAATAGCTTCCACACAATTATACCCGAGTAGCTGGAAATAGCTTCCTCACAATTATACTGGAGTAGCTCGAAATAGCTTCCTCACAATGATATCCGACTAGCTGGAAATAGCTTCCTCACAATTATACTGGAGTAGCTTGAGATAGCTTCCTTACAATGATATCCGACTAGCTGGAGATAGCTTCCTCACAATGATATCCGAGTAGCTGGAAATAGCTTCCTCCCCATTATACCCTAGGAACAATCGGAACGTCTTTGGCTATTATCTATAGTAACATTGAAAGTAGTTCTACCACGTGGTTTCAGATGTAAACAGAAACAGAGTTTGCAATGTAAAACGAATGTATATATTTGACATCCAAAGGAAAGAAAGTATGTTTCGATACAATTATGATTGAAAATATGTCAGACAACATTTATTAATTAAAATTTCCACTGATGTACAATTTTAAACAAATCCGACTTAATGTCAACAGGTTTGCAGTGTACTTTCGGTTTCTATAACCATAATAAAAATATATAAATAAGGGTCAATCGCAACTTTTCGGCCCTTTCCGTCAGTCTTCGGATAAGGACCTCGAACACAATAGTATGAATACACAGAACGGATGCTGTATTTCGGTCTAACCTATGCTAAGAAACTAAACATGTAAAAAAAAATAGTAATTTAATGCTTGGAGTTGTTGACAAGTTTATTTCCAATATATGTAGTAAAAGTCCACCTAAAATAAGTGAATTTATAGGTAAAATAGCAAACAATACATTATTTATGGTTGTAGAAACCGAAAGTACAAACAAGAGCTGTCGGTAGGACAGCAACGCTCGACTATTCTTAGTGCTTGATAGTAAAAAAATGCTTGATACAGTTACCTCCTCCAGTTTACAGGTTGGGGTAATGATGGTGAACAAGTGTGCAAAGTTTCAAAGCGATATGTCAATGGACTTTGAAAATATTTGAACTATTACAAAAACTTTAACATAAGTGGTTACGCCGACGCAGACGCTGACGCCGACGCTCGGGTGACTGCAATAGCTCTACTTATTCTTTTCGAATAGTCGAGCTAAAAACCAACCTGTTGACATTTAGTCGGATTTGTTTAAAATTGAACATCAGTTGCAAATTGTTCTCACACTATTTTCAAACATAAGAGATTAGAGTACAGGAACAGACATTAGATGTCAAATATATACATTCTTTTTACATTAGCTCCGTTTCTGTTTACATCTGAAACCACATGGTAGATCTACTTTTTTTTTTTTTTTATGTTTTAGTTTGTTTGACTTCACTGGTCTAGCTACATGTATATATGTTAATGTCAGATACGTCCATTTATCAGTAGATCTCAATCATTCATGCAAGCTTCATACATGAAAATCTTATACTGTTTGCATTCAGAAAAACAAATAGTCAATTTATATTTAAGCAATCATATTTTAATGTTGACATAAACAAGAAAAACAAACAAAATAATAATCTAACAATCTGTTCCGTCAAAATATGTTGTTTTTTTTTCATTAAAATTTAATTTCCCATAACATGTTTTAAATTTCATGATGACCATGGATTTTTAGTTCTAAAATGTATATCTATTCAGTAAAGTGTATGGGTTAACTTATGACCACGTCTCATGCTGTCAAAACTTAATAGATAAATAATATTCTACTATTGCTTTGAATAAATGAATTACTTTCACCTAATGAAGTTCATCAACACACACACACAAAAATACATTGCATATTCAGAAAAGTAGACAATTTTTCTTTTCATCTACGAAAGTACTTTCCAAAATGAGTAATACAGGACGAGTGGTATAGCATAACTGATAGTAAATAGAATAATTGTATCATAGTTTGGAGACCTTTCTGTTGAAAATGTGTCAGGGTTAAATCGTATACATATACATGCACAGTGCGTTAACTGGAGTGCGGGTATTAGTTACCCGCACTCCAGAGCATGCCCATTGATTGGCTCATTTTTGCTGGTGTTTACATATTGTGACTGCAGAGAAAGGGAAAGCGACAGAAATGTTATATTCAGATGTTCGTTCATTGGTTCATTTTCTCCGGGGTTTCATATTGTGACAACAGGGAACGTGCTTTTATGTTTGACTATGATACAAAAGAGAAAGAACACCGAAACACTCGGCAACCTGATTAATACTCGGGGGCTACGCCCCCTCGTACAAATCAGACGAATGTCAGACGTTTCACTCCCAAGACGTTTCACTATTGAGACGTTTCACTCCCAAGACGGTTCACACCTAGACGTTTCACTCCCATTTTGTCAATTGTATGGACGTTTCACTCCCAATTTTTAGAGATGTTTACTAGAAAAGTTAACAAATTTTAATTTCATTAATATCAAACAGAGTAAAAAGGAAATTCAATTTAATGTTTCATTTTGTTGATTTAATACGAATTATTAGAAGATTACTCATTTAATTATGGGTTGAGTGATAAGAGGTATAAATGAAAGACAAATTACTGAAGTATCACTTTTATTATACGTGTAACAACATAAGGAAATTCTATTTATAGTAAATTAAAAAAAATAGAATAACATAGAAAGACATATTATAAGTATCAGTTTAAATATTGAAATCACTACCAGTAAAGTAATTAATATTATTCAAATAATAAAAACTATCAATATATTAAATATATTGACTATATAATGATTATTTTTTTGTAAGTCTAACTCTTAAACAATGAAATGCGAAACACGTGTATAAAATAAATTATCTTTTAAAATTATTTTCTTCATCAATTTATTAAACAGTAGCCATTAAACAGACTTAAGTAATTGTGGTGTTATCTCATCGCCTAATTAGTTGAATAAACACTGAGACAATCAGCTATCAGTTTGACACCACTATTAAATCAGTTGTATAAACACTGCACTTAAGCATCAACAGTTTACTAATCAGTGGTTTATTGGACCATTAAATATTTTTGACAACAGCCAATTTAAACACAGAAACTTCTCCATAAGTTTTGTTTATATAATAATGAATTTTAGTCACATAAAAATGATTATACATGACAAATATTGAATAAAAGTCCCAATGCTCCTAATCTAATTTAAAGTTATTTCTGATTTCAATGGCCATTAAATTTTTTGACATATATCGCAAAAGTACTGTACTAGCATTAAATAATTTAACATTTTTTATCCCATGTTTAAAATTAACAACAAGAAGTTAATTATTGTCACAAGATTGTTCTGCTTTAAATTAAAATTGTCTTAAAATAGGCAGCCTATTGAGTCCATGTTACAAAAGATCAAATAGTTAGTTATATTACAGTGTTATTTTAATCAAAAATAGTTTTTCTTTAAGTGAAATAATGTGATAATTGCACATATGGATTAAAAATAGAAAAAAAAAAACACCTTATTTCAAAACAACAATAAAAGAAGATAAGATAACTGAAATGATAGAACTTAAAGTACTGAGTTTTAAGTCATTGACAAAAAAGTGAAATCCCGGCCCCTTTTTAATTTATTTTTCTTAATTTTAAGGTATATTTTAGTTTAATTTAATTCAATATTTTAGGTTTATTTTAGTATATCATAAGTATCAAAATAATTTTGGTATAAAAAGGGAGTGAAACGTCTTCAAGACGTTTCACTCCCATTTGGGAGTGAAACGTCTTGGTGTGAACCGTCTTGGTGTGAACCGTCTCAATAGTGAAACGTCTGTCTACCAAATCAGATAGCCTCGTGTTTCGGTGCTCTTTCTATTACTTTATTGATTAATTAAATCACATAATAATTATTACTTTAACCCTTTATACTACACTATATATTTTGTAAAAATAATACACATATGACACAAATTCATAAACAAAACTCAAATTTCTAATTAAATATTGCTTTATAGTATACAGTTTGATTAAAATTAGGCACTGCATGTCCACCAATGATTAACATTTTCGTAAATCTTAAAATGCACTTGTTTACAAAAGAATTTAAAATTGCATCAAGCGGTTCCTGGTTTCTGTTGCCAATAAGATGACGTTTGTGGCTGGGCAGGAAGAACTGATGAAAAGTCTACGTTAGCAAAGTATTCGAGTCGGTGACTGAAAAAAAATATAATAATATTTTCGTATTATTAAGTTTCTTCATTGTGACAGTCAATACCATATGTTTACAAAAATAATAATGTGAAAACTTCAAATGATAAGGGTTACACATGTATACAATCTCTGGAAGAATACAATATTTACATATGTAAATGGTTTATATCAAGAATTCCAAAACATCCCTATATGTTTTCATAAGTCGGTGAACCTTCAATGCAACACCACTTTTGTGCCCTTCCAGGAACAGCTGCAACGGCGTATGGCCCTCAATCAAAATAGAATGTGTATGCCCTAGCTTAAAGGCACATAATGCTTCAGAAATCATATTTTTTAAGTGTTTGGAATTGTCAAAAAAGTGTTTAATAATGTTTCAATGATGGATTTAGAGCATGTAAGATGTATTACAACTGAAGAAAGTAGCGCTGCATGTGAAGTAACGTGTCATAAATGTAGCAAAATGTAAAAAACATAGTATTTTGACCTCCATACAAAATAATTATTTATTATAATTACACCAATTGCTGAAAGAGCAAAATGTAGTTCATCAATGTTTTCTGTTTTGTTTTGGGTTTTACGTCACATCGACACAGTAGAGGTCATATCGCGACGTTCCAGCTTTACTGGTGGAGGAAGACATCAGGTGCCCTTCCGTGCATTATTTCAGGCACAAACGGGCACCTGAGTAGAACCACCGACGTTCCGTAAGCTAGCTGGATAGCTTCCTCACATGAAATAATCCAAAGTCCCTGTCAGGATTCGAACCCACAGCGGTGAGGGGCAAGTGGTTTGAAGTAAACGACCTTAACCACTCGCCACGGACGCCCCAGTTCATCAATGTAGAAAATGAGTATTTCTTTTGAAACTGTAACAAGATACCAAAAATAAAAAGTTTTTGAGAAATAAAAACTGACAGCATTTCTGAGACATAATAGGTCTTTAAAAGGGCATAATTAAATGAGGCTTGGCAATGATGGTTACAATCATTAGATTAAATCATCATATGTCTTATTAAACATAATTAATTCACTTCTGTTTATTACTTTAAACTACAGAGAAATCACTTACAAGTCTGGCTGGTCACCTGGTACTGCCATGTAAGCTTCATACTGTCTGTTATCACCCGATCCATGAATTGCATAAGCGTTAAATTTAGACACATTTGGCGGGAAATAATCTGCAGGTATAACAGCCGTACCAGTCCATTCCGAACCAGAAATTTTGCTTGTAAATAATAACGGCAGTTTGTCCTAAAAGAAATAAAGAAAGAGATATCTAAAGAAGTCCCTTCTCTCCAATATAGCTAACTTTATAAACACAATCTTTTTTTCAAATATGGCGAGAGCAAACATCTCTGAACCAGAAATAATCATACATAAATTGTAGAATTAAAACATATCAATGATAACGACAATTGTGATCAGCATCATTAATAAACTTTGTCACTGTAAGTGTCAATTTAAACACATAACGTCCCTAATGGTTACAATCATTACCTAAAATTATCATGTCTTCTGGAACATACAATTTCACTTCTTTTTATTACTTTAAACTACAGACTTTCAAGTCTGGCTGATCACTTCATATCAAATAACCTTCACATTAACCAGTCCCTTTGGCAGCAAGGTCTAAATGCCTTATATCTGCCAAGCAAAGTAGTATGCTCAATTCACTACAAAGACCTGGTATTTTACTCTTTTAGAAAGTTATCTAGAAACCCCGTTACTTTTCAGGCATTTCTGCCAAACCTTGGATAAGGACGCTGAACACAATACACCGCACAATGTAGCCGCGATACTTCCAACATGATTATTGGTAATCAGCAAGGTGTTCCAAAAGGTTGTTAACTGAATAACCTCATCCAATGAAATTTGAAAATTACTAGTTTCATGTGACACGAAACGTAACAAAATAATGAATCCATTGACCTACCTTTATCATGTTTCTTCTACCGTCTAACATCAGGACTATATGTTGACCATGGCTGAAATAATAGGTTAGGATAGAAGACAAAATATTGTAAATTTACTTAACTTTGAATATAACGATTAAAATGTACATTGAAAAATGAATCAGTTAAAAAATATGTCCTGAAATTGAGATAGCATTATTTATGCAAAATTTTTACATTTTATCTTAATAACTGTTACAGTGACATATTGTAAAATTTTTGGAAAATTCATGTGAAAATTTCCTCCTAATAAGTCAATGTTGTAGGGTGTGTTTTTGTTGTTGTTTTTTTTTTTTTGAAACACCATCTTTATATGAGGAGCCGCATCACAACAAAACCAACATAATGGGTTTGCGACCAGCATGGATCCAGACCAGCCTGCGCATTCGCGCAGTCTTATCAGGATCCATACGGTTCACTATCAATTTCTTTACTTGTTATAGGGTCTGTAAGCAAACAGCATGGACCCTGATCAGACTGCGCGGATGCGCAGGCTGGTCTGGATCCATGCTGGTCGCAAACCCATTATGTTGGTTTTGTCGTGACGCGGCTCATATGTGTTCCTGGATGATCACCTGAAGGAAATTGGTTGGTTTTAATCAGTTTGTTACATTTCCCAAACTTTCTAATGGTTGTAACCACTCTAAATTTTCAATTTTGAAGGAATTGAATTTTGGTGATAAAACTGTGAGAGTAAGAAATCACTGCTTTAGCCTAAATTATGTTTAAAGTAGAATGTTCATAACATGTTTTATTTCACATTGAAAAAGTTTTTTGAGTGCACTCAATGTCTACCTTTATATTTATGTTAACTAAGAACAACCTCTGACACCTGATTCAGGGTATCATTAAATTTTTGCTTATAATTGGGCGGTCAGAGGTTCAAATCCCAGTCATATAAGAATCTTTTCAGATGCATTCAACATTGGCATCATTCTGTTACAAACATTGTGTTGTTGTTGTTGTTTATAGGACACAATTGTCTCAATATTTTGACCTTAATTTTCATACCCGTCAAAAGCTTGAATGGTTTACAATTCACAAACCAGACATTTTTGGGTTAAAATGTAAGAAGATACATGTAAAAGAACATAATTTTCATGTACTTACGGACAGAGCTCAACTTCCAAATATTTTCCAGAATCAGATAAAAAGAAAGCCTCTACAACTGCAAAAAAATAATTAGGCATTTGTTAAATTAGTCCATACTTGTATAACACTTCTTCATCAACATGGTCCTAAATTATGAGTTTTAGTTAATTGTTATGAGACAGATGCGTTATGTTCAAGTTGCTTAAATTTTCAATAAATAAAATTTTGAAAATCAAGGGAAATAATAAATTTTCCCTTATCAAATTTTTAAACACAGAATTACTTCCCTTACACAAAATCAACTTTATCCATACATGCCCTTACCAAATGGACTTGACTGTCTTTCAATCTGGACAAAACCATTTATCATTTTTAGAGAAAATTTCAAAATGTCTACTGATTGAATAGCCACCAGTGCAGATCATGATAGACAGTATGGATATGCCAGCAGATCTGCACTGGTCACATGGATAGAATCTGTTAATCTTTTGCCATAAGCAGGTTATAAGGGTTAGATTAACAAATTAAATACCTTCATAATCCCATAGTTGTGGAAATGGCTGCCCTACTGGACCATTTGGTGCCGGTGGATCATTGTAGAAAGGGGCTCGAACACTTAAAACAACTTCATTTGACACTCCTTTACTTAAATAGATTTCCGCTTTTTGGTGAGACAGATCTTTGCCGTCCCAGGACTTCCCGATTGTAAATGCTAGACCTAGCCTAGAAAATAAAATAACAATGTTATTACAAAATATTGATCTGAGTACACCATGACTGATGAATTGATACATTTTATGTAAAATAACAGAAATAACTAAACATATATAATCACATTTTTAGAATTTGATTCATTACCTGTCAACCATTCTGAGTTTTAAAACTGTTATGGCAATCCTAGTGAAAGATAAACAGATAAACTATCAGCTAACTATGTATATTGTCATATTGTTATATTAAAATAGAATTGATATCAAATATGTTTGAAACAATGGCGACATGATGTTTACAAATAAGATTAAATTGGTCAACCTACATTAAACGAGGGGCATTAGATATATTTGTATCTAAATATAATTATCCTCAATACTAATGTAAACTTAGCAACATCCAGAATACACAGGCTTACAACAGATTAAGTCCTGACATCATGATCAAATTTGCTCACATCTAATTTAAAGGTACTCCACTGAGGTCAAAAAGCCCTTAAACATAAATTTTGAAATTCTTGCAAAGATGAAGTAATGTACTTAAAATGGAAAATCTGCAAAATATACTCAGAGCTGGGACATCTTTGTTCCAGCTTATGATTAAATTGTCTTTGAAAATGGATATTTTGCACATTTTAGCACAGACGCTTGGGGGGTCAGATCCTACCCCCCAACGTCATAAGCCCGTGTAAACCCTCTATCAAAAATATTTTAATATTTAAACATGAATGGGACATCTGCTACAATGATACAACTGGTTTTCAAACAAGTTTTGCATATCTAAAAAAAATTACCTTTTACCATCAAGTCTCAATAAAGTAAAGATTGCAGACGCCAAAATGTAAACAGTCCAATCAATACGCGACCTGAGCCTAGCATATGTTTGCGCTCTTGTTTCGCTTTTTGAGCCGGTACCAAACACTATAATTCTCTCACGACTAAACTTGTATCAAAATCGTCATTTTCGGGAGACCCAATATGACCGCTAAATTCAAATATTTATATCGTACATTATATAGAATAAAAACTTGGGAAACAACACACTGACTGTGCATCTTGGTAAAAGTTTTATTACAAATAAATGTCTTTTAAACGAGAGAATTCAGAAAGCTAACACCTGGGACATGACGATAGAATGCTTGAGTAGTCGAAAGCATGTGCACTGTTTGTGTACCAGCTTGACAAGCACTTCGCGCAGAGCCAGGAACTCTTCTCATATTGCTTGGACAGAACGCAAAATTTACTTTCGGTTTTAATTAAATGTTAATTTTCATATTAAGATGTGATGTATAAATGCTTAGTCTGCTTGCATCTAGAAGATAATTCAATATTCTATTGATTTACATCAGAAAAGTCACGTTAGGGTTTATTCAATAATGATTTATAAGGTTTTATTGGTCTAGGGTATTCGTGTTATTTTGGAGTCTGCAATCTTTCCTTTATTAAGACTTGGTGGTATAAGGTATTTTTTAATATATGTAAAAACCATGTTTGAAAACAAGTTTTATCTTTGTAATAGATGTCTCATTCTTGTTTAAATATTAAAATAGTTTTGATAGAGTGTTTACAGGTGCGTATGATCACGTTGGAAGCAAGATCTGACTCCCAAGCGTCTGTGCATTTTAGACCAGTTTTTAAAGTGAAAAGCATTGCAACGTTTTTTCATTTTTACAATAAAAATAATCATTTCGGGAAAACAAAGTGACAGAAAGATGTGAAATTTTGCAAACAAGCTATTTGTCAGACCTTTATCAAATGCTATATACTCGGTTCCTATGATATCAAGGGTTCTATGATATCAAGGTATCTAAATTTTCTGTGACTGTTAGTAAAAGCAACACATGATGATGCTAATATTTAAAAAACTTGCACACTAGATTCATTTTCATCTGCAAATAAATCTAATTTAGTGAATAATGAATGTATTTGTGTCAAGAAAACTATTTTATTAAACCTTCATATTTGACTACTATTTTCCTTAATGGTTTTTACACAGTCAATTAAAATATGTTAAAAACACATATACTGACATAAAGTCTGTTCATATAGTTTTAATTTTATAGAAAGATAACTGTTGGAAGTTTTTCACAACCTAACTTGAAAGTTTTGACCCATCCATCCTTCCTTACTTGCTTTTTTGGGGAATTACCTTGATACCATAGTAACCTCCTCTGAAATTACCCAAAATGGCAGACATTGAAAATATTCTAAATAATGTCATTTTTATTGGTTCTTTTGAAATAATTTTTTGACAAACAGTTCTGGAAAAGGTTCAACTAAAAGATGGAAGAAAAATCGCTTTCATTTATGATATTTATATTTAAATATTTTCTGATAAACGTTAAGTACCGTGATATTATAGAACCCCGGGCTACATGCATGGAGAAAATATTTCCAGTTCTTCCACGTCAAAATCCCTTTATTAAATTATTTATTAAACGAATTGCATTTGACTTTGAATACCTGTCCCTTGTCCATATTTTTAAAGCCTTGTATAAAATAAGTATTGCTGATGACACCGACAAAACAGTTAGAAGTCTGCGATTAATTCCCATATCTAGTTTACGCACGTCAATTAAATTACAGGTAAATGGCGTCAATAAATATAAGGGAGGTAATAAATGTAACACAATAAGACTATAGGACGCTATTTCTGATAGGGCAAAATTAACTACTAATATTTGTTTTATTTATTATTAATATGAAATGATATTTTAATTTGGATAAACTGTTATTTTATATATATTTATTTATATATATATATCTTATTATGTAACTGTGATCTATGCTGTTGCTAAAATAAAATAAATAAATAAAAAAATACCTGACTGCATATAATTTGCCGTTCCTACAAATATAATTTTTGACCTTGCATACATTCACAGTAATTTCACATTTTCAGCATTTGTTATGTTTTTCATGTATATAGAAACATATATAAAGAACAAAGATCTTCCTGTGGGGTTTTTATTATTATTATTTTCCGACTTAATCATCGGAGTAAGTTTTAACAAGCCCGAAATTAAAAGCCTTTGTTACTTTTATTCAGTGTAACTAAGATACATAGGTCCCTATAATAGGCCAATGGTTGCATGGTATATGGTTTTATCTACGTTTCAATCTATACACTTTTTTCATGTTGTCTAAAAAATCGCAAATTCTTTAAGTAATGAAACAAAAAAAAAATAACCATAAAACCATTGTGTGGGTTATCCAAGTATCAATTTACACTGTCGCAACCCTAACAAGTCTGCATACCTTTATTCTATTTAAACATTTCAACCATGTATTCTAAAAGCTATAAAACACTTTATTGCATCATTAAATGACATATTCAAACCTAATTTTGCGTATAAAAGAATTTAATTGACCGCGCAAAAGCTTTCTCTTTATCTTATCGCCATTTAATAATATGGAAGATATTGTGACGTCATACAGGTAAATATAGTCTTCACGTGACACGTTTACCTGTGAAACCGACTTTTTGATCTACGTTTATGTCGATAATGCTCATTCGGATATAGAGAGCATCTAGTGTCGTCTGCTTGAAGAAAATCGTTGTGGATTATTATTATATACAGAAATACCATTACTGTAATATGGTAAAACCGCGCCCTTGTGATCAATAGTGGAACTTATGAACCAGATGGATACAAGTTTATATCTCATTTATTTATATAATTAAGATGGCAATATAAGATAAAAGAAAAAGTTGAAAAATTTGGATTTGTTTTGTAGTTTTCTGCAAAATTTTGAAATCACTTATTTCTCATTATGAGGGATGCTAACGAACCCGTGCACGATGATTCACGGGTTGGAATCACCTCAGAAGCACGTGCACATCCGGGGCCAGGTGTTTTCAAAAGAAGTGCCTCTGAAAGGACGTTTTGTCACTTACAGCAAATGGAAAAGAATTATTCAAAATTAGGAGATCGTTTCACTAAGATAAAAGAAAATTCCGGTAACAATGGAATGATAAAGGTGGCATCTTTAAGTTCAATAGATTTTAGTGAGAATGGTGAACGTGACCTTGACATGAACCACTTTGTAGGTCGGAGAGATGTTTCCAACCCAACGACAATAAATGAGAAACGAATTATGAGCTCAAGGGGTAGTGTGAGGGGTTTTAAAAATAGGGTTCGAGCAGGAATAGCGACATTTCTTGATCAAAATGGATTTTCTGTAAGTAGCCTTGTTTCAGTTGTTAGAAATGTATATAAAAAGCAAGAGCGGATTTTCTTTATTACTTAATTGGCTTAACATTAAAATTAATCTGACTTATATAAATAATTAAATAAACCCTGTGTAAAACCTGTAATACAAAGTATACAAATAACGAACTTGTTTTATTTAAGTGTCGAAGCCTTTTCGTTTTCTCACCAAAGATTTTTTTTCTAGCCGGTTTAAAGGTAATTTAAGCGCATTATGGCATATTATACAAAGGATTTATAACACAAATAAAAGAGTAAGTATATCCACAGACAATATTATACAACATGCTTATATGTTCAATATTTATAAAGTTTACAATAGGTCGACATAAAATGGGCTAATTAGCATTAACCGCTGGGAGAAAAAAAAAAACACACACAGAACTTAACGTGCCTGTCACTTTTTTAAATGTCAAATATAGTGGAACTGACAACTTTAATTGCAACATACCGGGCTTTCGGCGGTTTATATAAAATTATGAAAAAAGAAAGTTTTTTATTAAAAAAATGAATTTGATGGTACATGTACATGTACATATAGGGGAAGGTACAAAAATAATAGAACTTCACTGAAGCAACAAAACATATAATGTGGGAATCTTCTAGAATGTCTGTTAAAGGTACATTATGCCTCAGAAAACTATATTTTTTAAAATTCTCTAAAAATCTCAAATATGTGTTTAATAATGTTATAAAATGGATTTAAAGCATATTAGATGATTACAAGCAGAGAAAATAGGACTGAACGTGCAGTAATAGGTCACAAAGGCAGCATAATATAAAATAGTATTTTAACCTCCATACAAAATACTGTTTCATTGTTATTATACCTATTGCCAACAAAACGGCAAATGATAGTTCATGTATATGGCAAATTAGTAATATTTTGCGCACGGAAAAAGTTTTTGAGAAATAAAAATGATAGCACTTCTAAGGCATAATGGGCCTTTAAATGATTTGTCAAACAAGGGGTAATGAAAAGGTGCCGGTTTGCTGATAGATACAGTCAATCAGTATTCATATAGAAGACGTGTAAGGAAATAGTCATGCATTCCGGTATACATTTTTACTATCAATCTTGTAATGGTAATTTTCTGTTCAATTATTCGGCTGATTAATTATTTATCGCACCAAAGTGAACACCTGATTACAAGGGATTCTAGTTATTTACAGTCAATACATGCCTTCTTTTAGAAATCTATTGACAGTATCAAGTCACATTGTTCATCGAATTGCTCTCCGAGATCAACTATGAACTTTGTGTTTCACAAGTTTTACAATGTTTGTAATACATTTATGGCATAGTCTAGGTATAAAGTTAAAGCTTGGACATACTATAACTTATCGTATGTCCCAGGTTAAAGTGTGACTACAATATGGCTCATTCTGTCCAACAATATTTCGATTAAATTCGGCATGTTTCGTAATTTTGCATTTCAAATATTCATTTATTCGTAAAATAGTTTTTTTCTACTTCCGTCATATCGGCGGAAGAAAATGCGTAAAGCGGCGGAATAGGTCGATTTTTCTCGAACTAATTATAGATAGTGGACCTATTAATGGTAGAAAGAATCGTAAACAGTTTGATGCTACCATCTTAAGATATTGAAAACAAATATCTATTTGTGTACAAACGCTGCAATAAATCAATTGAGATTGGCTCTATGAACAGAGGCTACAAGTTAGATCAAATATAACCATCTCTACTAAAGAACCAATAACAAAAGGTCATTTAATAAGTGTATTGCTTTAAAACTTTACTTGATATATAAAACGGTAAAAAAATCTCATAATTGTTACAATTTGTATAAATACGCGGTATGCGGGCTTCGAGATATCCAGTATCATTGGTTTCCATTGGGATAGAATATAACATGGACATCTTATCCTGTACATACATGTACGTATATAAGTTCTTGTAACTTATACATTACAGCATGTCGAAACACAACACACGCTATAAAATTAATAATGAAACACAATTAACTTTGCATACGTTACTATAGCAAACCTTTTAGCTGACATTACGTTACCAAGTTACAAAAAGACAAGCAATTAAAGGTTTTAAGCTCTAAAACATTTTCTAATAATTTTCTTTTGTAAGTTTATTAGTAAGACTGCATTCAATTCTTTTTTTAATGTGCGTTGTACAGACAGTTTATTATTGTAAAGAAAATATTAGTATTGATAAATAAATTAGGTGTTCCAGATACCTGACAATCATTGCTTTCAACTTGATTTATAGATCCAATATAGGAGGTATCACATGGTGTGAAAGATTTCCCATTTATAGCGAAAAACACAACTAGATAAAAATGGAAAAAAACTATTTTTTAAATGTTTACATACAAAAGTATATGTTTACTTGGGACGTCCGTGACCAATTGGTTAAGCAGTTAGACTTTATACCACCTGTCCCTCACCGCCGTGAGTTCGAATCCCGCCAAGGTCTTTAGATTCTTTCATGTGAGGAAGCTATCCAGCGAGCTTGCGGAACGTAGGTGGTTCATCTCGGGTGGCCGCTCGTGCCTGCAATTGTGCATGACTCTATTTGATAATCGGTATTTAGAAGTACATGTATATATTCATGACTAATTTAACAACTAAAACATGGCGGAAATAAATATCGGTTTATACTGTGCCATTTAAATCGTTACTTACTCGGTAATTATTGGTTAACCGCCGTACCATAAGTAACTTATAGCATTGATGGTTGATTTTTAAACTCGGCTATTAAATAATGTTGTAAAATGTAACAAAAGGCGGACAGCGTTTTTGCATCTCAACTAAGATATCAGGGGTTCGAGTCTTACTTGGGTCATGAGCATGTTTCCACATAAGACTCCAGTGCTGGTTAGGTCCATCCAGGACTCGAGGATTCGAGAATGGCTAAAATAATCTCACAATTTGAGCCCTAAATCGATATGATTATCAAGCAAAATACAATTTTATTTTTTACAATGTGTTTTTTTTTACGTGTGCACTTATTTTTTATCAAGGCTTTTTATTTGCTATCCACTTGAGACTTAGGATAGAATGCACAATCAATATGCTGTGACAAAATTTACAAATCATAAATTACAAAAAAAGACGCGACATTATCTTAACTTGTACACTTGAATATTGAGAACTATATATTTGAAACGAAATTTGCACCTTAATATATGATTAAAAAGTTAAACAGCTACTTTAACTTGTGTTTCGTTAAGTTTATACCATTTGACATAAATGTTAATAAGTTATGTGTCCATGTGTTAATTTCTGCAGATCAATATTAATAAAAACATAATATATGCATGTACAGAAAATATGTGTACATTTCTTATACATTTGTACGTGGACGGACTAACCGTTTCGATTTTAGTATTTTCCTTGTATTTTTGTTCGTTTCTAACTCCCTTAGTTTACACGGTGCTATATGCAGGCTTACACCGGCACTCAAGAACCAGACCGGTCTGCAAACCAGTAAAAGTCTGACTATAATGTGTGCAAACGCTACCCAGAAATTAACACTTCATCTGTAGGAACCGGAAGTAGTAAGCCTTTGTCACCAGTATTGAGTCAGGCCAACGTTCATATAGCAGTCTATACCATTGCTGAATTATTATATTTTTGATAATGAAATCCCCTAATCTTTGAATGAACTGTTCCAAATCTAAAACAGGGCAAATCCATTACAATAATGCATAAAACTAGTAAGGGAGTCCCCCTCTCACCCAAAGTACATGTCATCAGTATTGGTAGCGGACTGCGAAGTCTTTGAAATACATGTATTATTTTTTTAAAAGTGAAACTATAACATTGCATAGAATTTGGCATAAAATGCACAAAAAAAGATAAATAATAATAATAATAATAATAATAATAATAATAAAATGATAATAATAATAATGATAATAATAATAATAAAAGACGAGAAAAGAAAAACTAAACCCGAACAGGCAGCACCTTAATTGGGTGACATTACATCAATGCAGTTTGTCCTACAAATAATTTATGTATGTATCAAAAACTTGTTAGTTAAATGCGCAAATGTTTTTACACCTGTGAGTAAAACGCTCATCTGGAATGTTAAATTGTGTAGCCACCCTTATTAACTCCAAATAGAGCATTTCTCACATTCTTTATTTATAAGTCAATTCGATTCATTCATTCATTCATTCATTCATTCATTCATTCATTCATTCATTCATCCTTCCATTCATTGATTGATTTTATTTATTTATTTATTTATTTATTTATTTATTTATTTATTTATTTATTTATTTATTTATTCGTTAAAACTTCTGCGCATGTTATAAGTAGCGACCACTCAAATTCGATAGAAGCATTATTCAGTTTAATTTCACGTGAAGACTCAAAAATGTTAGTAAAGTTAAGAGGGGAAAAAAAACAATATAAAACATTGTATACATGTGTATGTATTCGTAACTTCCCATAAAGTTAGAAAAATTAAGGACAGTTAAGGCGAAGACAAAAGCACATTTGTCTTAATTGAAAGGCTTTGTTAAAAAAGGACAATAGTTTAGTGTGTCGCGGATAGGTAAATTAAAATGAGCCGCGTCACGACAAAACCATGCGACCAGTATGGATCCAGACCAGCCTGCGCATCCGCGCAGTCTCATCAGGATCCATGCTGTTCGCTTACAGACCCTATAACAAGTAAAGAAACTGATAGCGAACAGCATGGATCCTGATCAGACTGCGCGGATGCAGGCTGGTCTGGATCCATGCTGGTGGCAAACGCATTACGTTGGTTTTGTCATGACGCGGCTCAAATGGTATAATGAGCAGTCATCTTATTATACAAGATGAATTTCATGATTTTCACTCTCACTGTAAAACAATAATGAGTATACAATTTGACGATACGTAGATTTATAAAATGTCCGTTTTATATACCGTATATCTTCTTTAGAATATCACCATAAGAGATGTAGATAATGTTATCTATGTTTCTGTCACCGTTAA